CTGCCTCTGATACAGAGGCAGCAGCCCATGTCCGGGGTGGGGGCTGAGCTCCTGGACCCAGCGCAAGCCAGGACTGAGCCAGGCTGCCTGCCTGGCTCCTAATACACTTTAAATGCAGAGCAGTGTAGGTCCCGGACTGGCATGAACCAAGACTGAGCCAGGCTGCTGGCCAGCCTGTTAAAAAATGTACTGGCTGGGGGGAATGCATGTAGTCTATAGCATTAACCTATAAGCTTTTGCTTATCGGTTAATTGACTACACTATTACATTCCTAGTGCACAATTGCTTTGGAGATTTGCAGTTGTCCCACCAGCACCTCTGAATGGAAGAGCCTGATCCATAGACCACTAAGGCTAGCGTCTCATCCACACTTGCGTTAAACCCCCTTTTGGAAGAGGACCGAGCTGTGTATTTGGTTCAGTGGTGTATGTTTTGTGGTCGGTGGGTTGGCGCTTTGTTTCTGATGTGGGGATGGCAGATGTCTCCCGGCGTCGCTCATGTAAGGGGGACACAAGTACAGCTGGGTTTATATGGCCATTTTCTGCTCGATCCCAGGATATTGTGATGGGGAAGGATTTTGATGCTGAATGTGAGAGACAAAGTTCCTTCAAGAAACGATAAGCATTTACCGAGGTGTAACCAGAACAGGCTCCTTTGTTAAGCTGCCATCATGTTTCTTATGGAAGTTGTGGTGCAGGGGAAAGTGTTAGCTGCTATTTGGACTTGGAGTCAATGGGATTCCACCTGCAAATGTAGAGATGGTTTGTCTCAAGATCATTCATTCTCCCTCTGGTTTTTATAGAAAACTGCAGTCCAGCCCTGCACAAACACCCCTCTCCCCCAGCTCTAGGGTTAAACACAATCTCTGCTTAGAGCCACACCTGGAAGAACAGGAGAACTTGGCAAAACAAAACACACACACAAGAATCTCTATGGAAGGGGTCCTTGTGGCTGTAGCCTTTTCTCTTTGTTGAGCTGCTTCATGGTTTTTGCTGCTGTTTTGCTTTCACCCTGGATGTGTTGTCTGGTGTTTATCCCATTGTTTTGTTTCTAACGCCATGTGGCTCTGGGATGGGAACGATAAATCTGGGGCTGGAGAATGTTTAGGCTGAACAAACGCCACATTCCAGCGTGTTCCTGAGACGGAAATGCCGGTGCAGGCAGATGCATCTGCCTTACCACTCTGGAAGCACAAACAGGCTAGATTAGCTAATGACTGACAGGTAGCAGGTAAGCTGAGGAGTCTCTGTATAGCAAACAATTTGGGGAAAACAACCAGTTCCACTAGCAGCGCTCCATTAGAGGTGGTCCCTGGGCCTGCTCTTTTGAAGTGGGTAGCTCTCCTCCCACCCTCTGTCTGTGGGTTCTCTGGGCTGGGTCCTGTCCTGGGTTGGAAAATACCTGGTATGTTGTGATTTGCAGTCTAGCTAATACGACACCAGTGTTTTTTGGGTATTGTAGGTGTTAGCCAGGGGACGCAAGCTAGCTGGACTGATGGATTTGAGAGACCCCAATGAAAAGGGACAGGGGTGATCATTCGCTAGGGGATGGCCACCCCGAAAGACCGAGGGAGGAGGAGGTAGGAACAGTAATGGAGAGGTGGATCCGATGTGAGTCGATACCTGCACCCTGAGCAGAGGAACAAACCTCTGGATATTAAGGCATCCCAGCTAGAACCTCGGTGTGTGGTTTAGGCCTTCCTGTGCTTTTTTGTGCGTGTTACGTTGCAGTTTGCTGTGCCACTCGGTGGGCGGAAATTGAAATCCGTATCAGTAAAAAGGAACGGCTTACATTAGAACAACAGGGAGATTCAGGGGCGCTTAGACTGGCTATTGCA